AGTGCAGGTTCCCCCCAGGGCGGTGCCACTAACTGAAGTGTCTCTGGGCCATTCCCAAGGGGGAGGGGGGGCATTTCTCGTTCTAATGCACAGTAGAATTGTAAATGGGATGATCCAACAATGTCATGCTCATCATAACTGTGCCTGAATTACAACAGGGACTGCTGCTTTTCTTTCCTAATCCTTACTATCGTCATTTTCCTCAACTTTTTTTGTATGTTTGTCACCCTCTTGTGACCCGCTATTTCCAGGGTGCCTTGGAAGTCAAAACAGGCTTGGTGCTATTAAAGCTAGAGAGGTGAGCAGAGTAAGTCTGATTCCCTGTAAGTCTCTGTTGACATCCACCCCTTGGCGCTCATACTCATATATATGACCGTATGCAGTTGCGAGCGCCGTAAAACTTCTACTAAAACTAAATTAGTGCAGGTTATTTGAGTTTATAGTACTGAAAAGTTTTGTACACAAAGTTTGTGATTTTTCTCTCGTGCCAAGCGAAACAATAGCAGTTTTTCTAGATAATAAAAGGTCTGATTAACATGATAGTCTTCTTTTACACAACATGGTGCTTTCTTTTGATGTACACGTATTGGAAGGAAAATGACCTGTTAAAGAAGATCAAACATTGTAGCTGAAAGTCAGTCATCAAGCTTTCCATTTTCTTTGTCATCTTCTTTAAAGTTTTCTGACTTTGACGTTTCAGTGGAAGAGATTGTTCAACCTTTGTTTTGTCGCTTCATCCCCTGTCCTGTCAGCTGAACACAACGAATATTTGTCCTTTTTTAGATGGTGGAAGGCAAGGTTCTTCATCTAAAAACTCTGGAATATGTGCTGAAACTTGTTCTATTGCTCCACTACATGTACCATTCTAACTTTCTGTAATTCTGTGGTAAGGTCAGGCTTGAGTGCAGGTCGTTTTAACTGGAAGATGACATACAACTAATGTGGTTCAACGAAGGCGAAGCAGTACACAGTACAAGACGCACCGCAATGTTAAGGGCAGGAACGTTTTTGTCCCTACCAAACTGAAGACAATCACAAAACTTACAAAAGTAAAACAGTCATATCATGTGACTATTCGAGTAGACTCTATGGATATTTCTTGGAGAAAAAAAAACTATCAGTGAACTCGTGTTGAATGTTCGTAGGGATTTAGAAACTGACTAAATCTTTTACATAATCGTGGAGACACCAAAGCTGTTCATTTGGTTGTTGTTGTTGTTGTTGTTGTTGTTGTTGTTGTTGTTGTTGTTGTTGTTGTTGTTGTTGTTGTGTTTTACATCACCAAAATAAGTGAGTTTGGCATTCCATACGATATGAATGGGTTGAATTTTATGAATAAATCGTAGAAATTGTCGTATAATATGACAATGTTGATGTTAGTACTAAGAGTGACTTTGCTTTGCTCATGAAGTGAAGTGAAACAGGGTACAGATGATCGAAACGTACCATCCTTAACTGTTTTTGTTACACTAATGTGCTATTCCCAGATCGAGATAGGTCACAAGCTGACCTAAATTTTGGTACAGTTTGAATGGTTTGTTTGTATGAATGAATGAGGTGTAGAAACCTTACACCAATGTAGTCTCTGACAGCAAATGTTCCCACACAATCGTTGTTACAATGTAAGATAACGTGGGGCAAAGAAACATCTTCAAAATACATTATAAGCGTAAACGCAAAGCCTTAAAAATAAAGATAGATAATTCCCTAAAGAATAATTTTTCATGAACTCATTTTTTGTAAACAAAAGAATGATTTTGAAAGTTCAACGGGGTTTTTTTTTTAATCTTTAGTTTTAATATATGTTCTGTTTATACATAGTTCGAGCAAATGCGTCTTACGGAACCTTTCTCCAGACACACATACATTATGATGAAAGTAAAGTGTTCTATCCATCCACTGTCAGGTCTTTCTGCCTGCCACAGCTTCACCAGAGCCCCATCAGCCAGCAACATGTTAAGGTTACCAAGGTCGGCCTTCACGGCTAGCGTAACGCCCACGTGACATGACGTCACACCGTACCTCACCCGAACCCAGAAAACCTCTACTCTGTTCTGTTTCCATCTCCCAGGACGAGGACCAAGGGTTGGACTTTGGGAGACAAAAAAAAAAGGTTAGTAAAATTATTTTTTTTCTAGAATTTTGTCCCATGCCCGTTCTACGCATTATTCGACGCCATCGTTGAAATTTGCTGACTTAGTAGTGAAAAACAAAACTGACAAAATGAGTTAGTGCATGTTGTTAAAACTAAAACAAAGCAAAAGCAGGGACAACATTTTATATACATAAAATTTGAAAGTACATGAATTCGAACTAACTAAGGTTACCTAACACGGTTAGTTTGAACAGTTGTATTTTTAAAAATTCTAACATCCTCTGCTCCAAATGAGTCACGAGGCGGGCATTTTCCCACATTCCCACTCCCTAGTGGAGCAACCAAATTTAGTTTCTTCGTCACCATAGTCAAAAATGTCCTACATGTGTGCGCTCAGTCTCATCTACCGGTGACATTAGTTAGGTGTTATATTCTACTCTAGGAGGACAGACCAAAGAGAAAAGAACACATATTATCTAAGGCCAGTCAAGAAGAAGAAGAAGAAGAAGAAGAAGAAGAAGAAGAAGAAGAAGAAGAAGAAGAAGAAGAAGAAGAAGAAGAAGAAGAAGAAGAAGAAGAAGAAGAAGAAGAAGAAGAAGAAGAAGAAGAGGAGGAGGATGAGAAGAAAACATAAGATAACAGCAAAGTATAGGAAAATCCTGAAATCAATGATTAATCAGGGGAAAAAAATATTTTACTGTTTCTAAGTAAAAAGTAAACCTCATTCTTTTCCCTAAATACCTCCACCCGACCTTCCCAAAAAATCTGTTGTCATGATAACTAAAAAAAAATGTGTATGTATTGTTGTCCTACTAGCTGATAAACAATTATTAAATTTGCATTGACTAACAAGACGGGTCAAGGTTCAGTTCCCCTTTGAATCATGACCCATCATGACATCAAATACCAAAACAAATTGAGTAATAAAAACTAGCCCATGCCCAGAAAAACAAAAAAACAACGACAACATTCCCCAAGTTTACAAATCAATCTTGCCTATCTCCTTCAACTCTGTCTTAACGCCACGACACCCCCTCCCCCCTAATCCGTTTACACACACACACACACACACACACACACACACACACACACACACACACACACACACACACATCATGTACTGTCATAATGTCAGTGGCAAATAAACATCTGTCTTTGTTCCCATTGTTCCAATAAGCCACAAAAGCTACAGGAAAAGTTATATTTGACTGGGCTTGGATAAAGAG